GTCCCTCTGTCTAAGCTGCTTGCTTAAGTATTGAAGCTAAAGGCGAGGAGCGTGTTGGGGGCAGGTAGTGGCCTGGGACTTCAGAGGGCAGGAAGACAGGTCTTTTCAGGGTCATCTATAGATAAGGTGGTCAGGGAGAGACAGAGTTTTTGATAAAAGAGGCTTGGTGCCTTTCCTATTATAACCTCTATCCTACATTATCTTTACAGCCATCATGATAGAAGATCTGTTCCAGGAAGGAGCCATCATGTCAAATTCTTTAGGCAGTTAGTGGGGGAGGTCAAATGTCCCTCAGAGAAAACAATCAAGGTAAAGAGATATATTTCAGGTGGCCAAATCTTGATCTCCCACAGATGTCTTTGTTGGGTTTGGTGTCTGGGTGATCCTGGCTTTGTAGGATGAGGTGACAATATTCTCTCTTCTTCTTGCATTTTTTGTTGCTTTCTCTTCACTGCATCTTCATGGTGTTGCTCTGTGTAACTGCCTTGCTCAGTGGAGTCTGACACTTGGCCCAGCCACGTCCCTGGAAGTTTACGGTTTATTGTGTCAGCCACGCTTGGCCACGAGTATCCATTGGAGGCTGGTGCCTGTGAAAGGGGGTGTGGTGAGAGCCCCTCTCTGGGTAGATAAGAAGTCAGTGCTCTGAAACCCTGCACACCAGCTCTCAGGTGGTCATCGGTAAGGCCTTGGGGGAGCTCCTGTTACAAAATTGCCAAGGCTCTTGGTTGGAAATCCATTTTCCTGGATTTCTGTGAAGGCATTTCAGAATAAGGAACATCTGCTCAATTACGTTCAGGCCCCACAGGAGCGAGGTAAGGGAGATGTCACCCCTGCAGGAAGTGGGAGCCCATCTGAGAAGTTCCTCAAGACAATGTCAGCCAAATATCAGAAGGGAGCAAGGGGGCCGGCTAAGGCAGAGTGTTCTAAGTGGCACCATCTTGTCTGGGAGTCCACCATCCTGTCACCAGCCCACTGAGCCAGACAGCCTGCAGGTGCCCCTAAAATCCTATTCCACAAACCACATATAAACCTGACAACATGGAGAAAGTTCTGGGGGAAGAGGATGTCTGTTTTGGTTTTGCTTTGCTTGGATGGATTGTCGTCATTTTGCTGTAAACAAGTTAACACCTGTCACACCAACATTTCCACCTTCAAAGAAGTGGGAGGAGCAGAAGGACAAAGACCCCTCAGCCCCAGGAATAAATAAGCCTGGGGGGGTGGGGCTTGTGATGGTCACGTGATGAGACACATAATGTGCTCCTGTGATGCAGGGACTGGCATGGAGTAGATGCTCAGTCCATGATACCCCTCATGGATATCCACAAGAAGGGAGCTGCCCTTAGGGTCCCCTGGGGTCCTGCAGGCTTGATAGGTGCTCCTGGGCGAGGAGGGGCTGCCATTGGTATCTGACGAGCCCTAGGGGTGCCCCAACCTGGAGGGCTGGTTGTCGTCCCCAGGAGTCTACTTGCCTCCTTTCAGGACACTGTCTGTAGCTGGAAGCTCAGAACAGCCAGTGTGAGTTCTGCCCATTCACAAACACTCCCCAAAGTCAGGCACTCCGTCAATGGAGGAGGGTGGCTTCCTGCCATCCCATTGTGCCGGGAGGTCAGGGACTGCCCAGGGCCTCTCAGCCAGATTCATACCCTCATCTTACCAGAGTCTTGCCTGATGCCCGCAGCCCCCACACCTCCCAATGTTGAGGGGCCTGGAGGGTGCCCAGCAGGAGGAATATGTGTGTTGGGATGAGGGATCAAGGAGGGTGTCTGCAGCAGTGCAAAACGGGTGGGTTCCGGATAACCACCCCCAGACCTGGACCTTAACCTCCACCAGCCTCCCGAGGCCACCCCGTGACCTGGGCTAGTCACTTACCTGGTCACCTGGGCTTCCTCATCTCTGAACCGGGCACAGTAATAGGGTTTCCCTAGAACCTTGTGAGCTCTGGTCTTGACCATGTGAGGTGTGGGTAGGGGGGCCTGAGTGCCTGTGTGACCATGACATAGAGCCCAGTGCTAGATCTGGCACCCAGAGGTGGGAGTGGGCCCTCTGCACAGAGGGGCAGTGGCAGTGACAGCAGGTGATAGCAGGTGAGTCACAGCAAGTCCTATGGGGACGGACTCAGGCGAGAGAGGAGGCAAAGACTCTGATATCAGGGGACAGTGGCAACACAGAACTGGCTCTGGTGGCATGTCCAGGCATGGGGGCAGGGCACACGGTACAGGGCATGCCCCGCTCCAGGTGGGGTGAGCTGCTATACCAGACTGGCGAGGCGGGAGATGGGGCAATGATTGCCTGTGTCTGAGGCCAGGTGGCTGTCTTGGCTAAGCCCAGGGCCACAGAATCGCTCCTATTTCAGGTCCTGGAGGCCTGGCCCTGCTCCCACGAAGTCTCGGGTTTCCCACTTGCTTTAGGGTCCCAGACCACTGGAGTGGTTCCTAGCTGGGCTCCCTGAGGCTGCCCCCTCCCCACCAGCAGGGCCCCTCCCAAACGTGCTGTCCCTTGCCCAGGAAGCAGGCCAAAGGGATCTACTTGCTTCCCTGTGACCTCCTGCCACCCTGCTGGCAGGCCCTGACCCTGCCTCATCCCAGCCCTCCAGCTAGCCAGTGGTTTCAGGTTTGGGTCCCCAGGGCAGGGTCAGAGCAAGGACTGAAGGCTGATCAGGACCTTGCTGGGCAGCCCGTCACTCCCCTCTGGCTTTCCTAGGTGCCGACAGCCGGCTTGCTGCTCCTCTCAGCTGCCCACCATGGCCTGGGGGCTGCCCAGCACCGCCAGCCTGGTGCGCTTCTGCCAGAAGCTGAACCGGCTGAAGACACTGGAGGAGTCCACCAGGGAGACGTCACTGCAGCGCCACCTGACCACGCTGGACCTGACCCTGCTGGGTGTGGGTGCCACAGTGGGCTTGGGCCTCTACGTGCTCACAGGCACTGTGGTCAAGGAGATGGCCGGCCCTGCAGTACTCGTGTCCTTCGCTGTGGCTGGCGTGGCCTCCCTGCTGACAGCCCTGTGCTATGCAGAGTTGGCGGCATGTGTGCCCCGCAGGGGCTCTTCCTACCTGTTCACCTACATGTTCATGGGTGAGCTGTGGGCCTTCCTCATTGGCTGGATATTGATCCTCCAGTGTCTCACTGGTGGCGCCGCCATAGCCCGCGTCTGGAGCAGCTATCTGGATGCCATCTGCAGCCACCACATCCGCAGCTTCACTGTAGCCCATGTGGGCATCTGGCAGGTGCCCCTCCTGGCCCAGTACCCAGACTTCTTGGCTGCTGGCATCCTACTTTTGGTCTCTGCATTTGTCTCCTGTGGAGTCCGCATCTCTTCCTGGCTCAACCACATCTTCCTTGCCGTCAGCCTGGTTGTCGTCCTCTTCATCATCATCCTGGGGTGTGTCCTGGCCCGCCCGCACAACTGGAGCGCTGAGGAGGGCGGCTTTGCACCCTTCGGCTTCTCCGGCATCATGGCCGGTGCCGCCACCTGCTTCTATGCCTTCATGGGCTTTGGCGCCATTGCTGTCTCTAGCGAGGAGGCCCAGAACCCAAAGCGAGCTGTCCCTAGGGCCATCGCCATCTCAGTTGCCCTGGTGGTTGGCACCAACATCCTTGTCTCCACTGTGCTCACCCTCATGGTGCCCTGGCACAGCCTGGACCCTGACTGGGCGCTCACTGACGTCTTCTACCAGCGGGGCTATAGCTGGGCAGGCTTCATCGTAGTGGCTGGCTCCATCTGCGGTAAGGGGCCCTTCTGGGCAAGGTGGGAGGGACCAGGGGAGTGAGGCCCTGCCCTAAGTCTCCAAGAGAACCAGGTCCTTTCCTGGCAGAGGGACTTAGCCCTCATCATATTCTCCAGCAGTTCTGTCACCTAAACTGGGGTGTCCCATTCCTGTGTGGTGAGGGGGAACAATCCAGCACCCCACACACACTCAGACTCACTCTGGGAGACCAAAATCATGCTATGTTCCCAAGGGGCCACCCAAGCCCTAGGCCCCAACAGCAGCCCCTGGTGGGCCTGTCCACCATGCTGACCAGTCTCCCATCCTCTGCCACAGCCATGACCACTGTGCTGTTCAGGTACATCTTTTTCCTGCTACATATCATCAGTGCCATGGCCACCGACGGGCTCTTCTTCCAGGTGTTTGCCCACGTGCACCCCCGGACACAGGTGCCCATGGTGGGCATTCTGGTGTTCATGGTCATCATGGCTTTCCTAGCGCTGCTGCTGGACCTCAAGACGCTGGTCCAGTTCCGCTGCATCGGCGCACTGCTGGTCTACACCTTCCTGGTCACCAGCATCATTGTGCTACGCTTCCAAAAGGCCCCTCCATCCAGTTCCCTGGGCCCAGTCAGCCCTGTGGGCACAGAGCAGGCCTCAGCCCCTGAGCCTGGGCAGCCGCGACCAGCCCTGAGGCCCTACCTCGGCTTCCTGGGTGGGTGCCGGCCTGGAGCTGCCGTGGCTTGGGCACTCGGTGTCCTGGTGGCCTCGGCCATCACTCTGGACTGCGTGCTGGTCTTCTGGGACTCAGCCCTACACCTCCCTCTCTGGGGGTACACCCTGCTGCTCCTGCTCAGCTCCGTCATGTTTCTGCTCAGTCTCCTTGTCCTGGGGGCCCACCAGCAACAGCGCCGGCAGGATACCTTTCAGGTACTTCCTCCAGCCAATCCCCTTCACTCTCAGCCCAGCCAGCTCCCCTCGCCCCTCCCTCCTCTGCTGTGGCAGGGTGCACCAGGGCTCCCAGGGCGGGGGAGGCCAGTCCCCCAACCCCCTCTTTCTGCATGGCGAGTGGGCCCTTGTCTGCAGAATCTCCAGAAGTGGAGAAGGCTCTGAGGACTCCTGAGAAATGAGGCTCTGGGCCAGCAGACCTTCCCACAGCCAGCCCAGCCCTGCCCTTGCCCCCCCAGATTCCCATGGTGCCCCTGACTCCAGCCCTGAGCATCCTCCTCAACATCTTCCTCATGCTGCACCTGAGCTCCCTGGCCTGGCTGTGCTTCTCCATCTGGATGCTGATCGGTGAGTGGGGGCCAGGCTGGGACCCCAGGTGGGCTGCAGGAGGAGGGCAAGCAGGGAAGCAGGGCTGGGACCTGTTTTTCACGCTTGTGTCACTCTTGCAGGACTTGTGGTGTATTTTGGCTACGGCATCCGGCACAGCAAGGAGAACCAGCGGGAGCGGCCGGGGCTGACTGCCCCACGCGGCAGCCTGGAGGAGACGGTGCAGGCCCTGCAGCCCCTCAGCCAGACACCAGCCCAGGAGCCCAGACACACGGGGCAGCCTGACAATCCATGAGGACCACTAGGGAGCTGCTTGCCCTCCCCCACCTTCTCGGGAGACCAGAGGGGCTGGAAGTCCCCTCTGCCTGGTGCAGCTCGGGTTTGCAGGCCTGCACATGACTGGGGGTCCTCAGGACTGCAGGACCTTAGCCCAGGTGTCAAGTCTTTGGGAGTGGGCTGTGGACAGCGCTGGTGTGGTGGACTCTTAACCCAGCGCCTTCCCATTTATGACCAACTCCAGCTACCTGGGCAGGTGGAGTAGGGCGGGCAGGGAAGAGGCCCCCAGCCCCGGGGATCCACAATAACAACATGTGGCCTGCTGCCATGTCCACTGTGGCATCTTTGTGGCACAGTCCTCACTTGCTCCCAGGATCTAGACAGTTGTCCCTAATCAACAGCAAAGTTGCCGGGTTCTCTAAGAGGGAGGTACCAGGACTGGGACAGCCCTGAGTTAGGGACATGGCCAGGCCTGGGTCTTGGGGTCTTGCCCGCAGGCCAGTGCCCTCTGCCCAGCTCAGAGGGGAGCTACACACACCAGGCACAGAGGGGTCCCTGACAGGGTGGAGTCAGGCTCACTCCCAGGCTCCACACATGTGCCCTCGGGGGTTGATCCAGAGAGCAGAGCCTGGACCCCAAGGCGGCCGCCTAGAAAGGGCTGTGGAGTTCTGGGGTTCCCTCGGTTTCCCAGGGCTCCCAGAGAGCAGAGCATGTGCCTGAGGCCTGCCCCGGGATGTGGAGGCCCACCTGCCCGGGTACACGCACTCCAGGGGCACATGCTTGCCAGCAGCCAGAGGGAGCCATGTTGGCCAGACTCACCAGACCCAGCCAAGCCGCTCCGGTGCCCAGAGTGAGGGTTGTGGGAATGAGCCCAAACTTCCCTGCCTGAGGGAGACCTGGGCTGAGTCTCTCTGGCTGTGGCTGTCACGGATCCAACCCCTCACCCTTGCCTGCCCCAGTCTGCCCCCTACCTCCAGTGACAGGGATATCAAAGGATCCCGTAGAGCTTGAACAGGCTCCAGGCCTGCACACCTGAGGCCTCCCACGAGTGAGCAGCTGTCCTGGGGGCAGGAGAGTCTAGTGGCCTGCTCTGCCCACTCCTGGGCGGGGCTCCCCCTCACAGGCCTCATCTTCGTCATCCACTGACTCCATCCACCCCCAGCCCGAGTCCTGGGTCTCAGCCGTGTGTCGTTGCTGAGGACCCAGGGGACAAGCAAGCTGGGACCTGCCTCTCAGAAGCTCCCTGCCTGCTGAGGGGATGGGGACAGAAGGGTCCCAAAACATAAACTGGTAGTAGGGATGGGGGAGGCGGTGGCAGGCCTGGGGCTGTGGGGTCCAGAGAGGGGCACTCACTCTCCGCTAGGAACCAGGGAAGGCTTCCTGCTGGGAGACTCTCAGGCTGGTTTCCCAGGGGTCAGGAAGGAGTTCTAGGCAGAGACATAGGGTGGGCGAGAGCACAGGGTGAGGGGAGGAGGGCGTGGGTGGGGTCCAGCCCCACATGGTTGCAAAGGGCTGGGGAGGTCAGCGAAGCCAGGCCAGGCCCAGCGAGCAGTGTCAGGGGCTTCACCTCCAGGCCTGGTGGCTGTGTGCACGTATGCGTGCGAGTGACAAGGTGACAGGTGACAGAAGGATGGGGGCCTGCTTAGGACACTCAAAGACATGACAATACATGCACACAAGATCCTTGAGTGCATCCTGGATCGCAAAAAAAAAGATTTAGGGGCCCCGTGGCTTAGCGGTTAAGTGCGCGCGCTCTGCTGCTGGTGGCCCAGGTTCGGATCCCGGGCGCGCACCGACGC